GGGTGTAGGTAGGTGTGGGGTGCAGGTGTGAAATGCAGGTGTGGGATGCATGTGTGGGATGCAGGTGTGGGTTTGGGTGTAGGTGTGGGTGGATGTGTGAAGTGTGGGTGTGGGTGTGGGTGTGGGTGTGACGTGTGGGGTGTCAGTATGGGTCAGCAGAACACCCGCACTCACCCTCAAGATATACATATTATAAGATTAAATAAACCACCACAAAGATCTTGATATGTTGATAAAACTCTGATTTCTGATTGTTATCTTTGTTCATGACCGATTTTTATCAATAATTCATTGAATTTATCGATACTACGTTTAGTGTCATTCTTTATAAATTGGGATTAGTTGTATTAAAGCGTTGAGTGTTAAGAAATATTTGGTGAGAAAATTTAGAGCTTTTCAATGGAATCTTTCATACAACGTAATGTGTACTTAGATAAAAGACTGAAATACTAAAGCAGATGTGCTTGAAGATTTTATTCAAAGGCATGTAAATGTTGCGCAGAGCAATGCTCCATCTTACCTGTTACTTGAAATTTTCGAAAAAAATTCGATGAAAGATTTCAAAATAAAAACGCAATTTTAAGATTCTACCTAGAATAATCTTTCATCGAACAATGCAAAACACTATGCCATGATTGCTCAAAGCCAATTGAGCTAATGGTTTATTTTCATTCTCAGTTTTTTGAGTACCTTGCATTATACCATTCACAAATAATTTCAGCTCTTTTCTTCTTTGCTTCAATCAATACAGACACTTTGTTTTCGCTCCCAAAGGCGTATTGCAACGACAAATCACAATTGCGACTGTCTTTTAGCTTTTGAAATATTATAGACATTAAATGTTTACGACACTGGGTGATTTTTCGTCGAAAATAAAGTGGACAAGAAGGAAAAAAACACATTTATTAACAATAACAGGAGTAGAGACATGTATAAATTACTTCATTTGCAGTGAATTTTTTGTTTGGAAGAAAAACGACGAAAAGCAAACTTGGTGATGCAAATGAACAATATCACCAAGAAAAACATTTTGCTACTGCTGCTCATTGTTGTTCTATCTGCAGGTATGTTTCAACACTAGAAATTTATTTCAACTTGAAGAAAATATTTTTCGGTTTCATATAACAGAAGTTGTTTGTGCACTACATGCACAGTTAAAATGTGAAAGATTATATAGCTGCTTTTAGTATTGAGAAAGAGTTTCTTTAAATTTTGCTACTATTTAAAGAGTTTCTATCGTGGTCTCGGTACGAACAATATGCGACGAGAAAAGATGTAACTTCGCATTCCATATACTACATTGCTTCTTTCAGATCGTGTTACAGAACAACGTAGGGTTGTACAATACTGAAAAATGAATTATATACCACATAGAATTATTTTCTAACTATTATCTATTCTTTAATAATGCATTTCAATTTTATGGTACTTTCAGGATTTATGCTGATTGCATAGATGTTTCAGAGAGACTTTATGAGTCGATCGAGAAAGTCAGTTTAATGAAAAATTTTTCATATATATATTTTTCCATCAATCGATTTCCCATGGAAAAGTAGGATTATGAAATTCTTTTAGACTTCTACGACGTAATTTGACGGAGTTTGTCGGGTTTGAAACATAAGGGAGGTCTCTGGAAAGGCGAAAATCTATCATTTTCACAGTTTCACTTATATCTCCGTCAATATTTGTCCGTTTTTGTTGAGCAACGTTTCATTCGAAAGACCCTATTACACTGAACAAAAACGTCTGTTATAGCTTTCCCGAAAATTTCATTCTGACTATTAAAAGATCATTTTTTTTTCAGTCCATATTTTTTTTCATTGCAGTCATTTTGTATACTCAAAAAGTGAGTACACTACAGAAGCGGTCAGTGTGTTAGGCCGACCGGGCAGCTGTGTACACGATAACTCTTCAAGAGTAGTACGATTGTGATGAAATTTTGCATACAGAATCGTCTTATCAATATCTCGGTCGAGTTCGAAGATGAGAGTAAATTCGTCAAGGAATTGCTGAGTTATCGCTAAAATGTCATTATTTCCTATGCTTTTCTATGCGAACACTGACCTAGCCTGGTTTTCGTAAAGAAACTTTTTCTCTCATAATCAAACAAAACCTCAGCTATTATATATCGTTCGATAGAGAATTTCACGGGCTACAAAATAGTATATAAAACATTAAGAAACAAGGAGACTAAGTCACTGATTGCAAAGATACTTAAACGGAAATTGCTTGTGTGTTTTTACTTTTTGAAGCACACATAACATTCGGATTTAAATCCGAGGTTTCCACATTTATTTCAGTATGGTGAAAGATCGGAGAAACACTTTAATTTAGTACACCTGGTAGAGCATTTTGTCCTCGACAAATCCCTGATAGAGAGTTTGAAAAAAGTGTCAGAAAGGGCAAAAAAACTGAAAAACATCGTTCGGTGATATAAATTTGAGCCTTTTTGTGCATTTTCTTCAGCCGATTTCTATTAGAAAAATAGCCATTTGATCAAAATTAATATATATTCCGAATCAGCATCCAAAACTGAGTCGATCTATATGTATTTCAGATATTTTTGCAAGGGGAAAACGGCAGACTTTGTACTTGAAGGTATTTTACACTACTTAAACGCACATTTACCTACTTTAAAGTACTTTTCTGTAATTTTAAAGTACTTGTTTGTAATTTTAAAGTGTTTTCCAAAGTACTCTCATATATTTTTAAAGTACTTTGATGTACTTCAAGTCTGCCGTTTTCCCCTAGTATTTTTGAGACATTTTTTTTCATTGAAAAATTCATCCCTACTCCCCCTCAGGGTTGGACCAAAAAAGCAATTTCTCCAAAATACTGTTTTCACGGTTTGGCATCTGTGACTTTGTGTTATACTTTCATTTTGTAACCTTGAAAAATTGTTTGCCTCTGCCAAAATCACGTTTTGAAGAAATTCTTGTTGTGGTCCAACCCTGAGGGAGAGTAGGGGTGAATTGACGAAACCTCTCTTTAAAAGTTTTATCGTAGATTTCATTCCACGAAGAGTTTTGTTAAGGCATGTCTAATTCTGTATTGTTTCTATCGGGTCATATCAATTGATAAAGTTACTTCTGGGCGATTTCGATGTAGAAATCTTTTACGAAATGAGTCCATTCTTTTTTGGAAGTTCATAAATCTAATTATCTATATGTAATCTTTATATTATAATCGAAAGAACCTTTAATAATTCATGAAATCTAGAAAATGCGCGAATTTCAATCGTGCGGAAAATTTTAAAGAGCGACTCAAAACCATATAGATTTCAATAGGATGTAATCTGCTTCAGATTCAGACCAAAATTGTTAATATGCTGATTTTGACGTTCAATCACCAGAATAATCATCTCATTAGTTTTCAATAGACAACTTCCTATGTCTATAAGGTACGAGTGAAAATTTTTAAATTTAATCCCTCCTTAAACAACAATCGTATAATTGAAGTTTAGAGAAGTGAATAAGAAAAAGTTGTTTACTTTGTCGAACGCAGAAACAAAAATATTTATTTAGTGTAATGACGAAAACAAGTTACTTTTGAATGAAAAGAAAATTGTACATGATTTGATCAGTGACTTTGCGAGAATCATCTTTTCATTCTTCAGTAGAATCATATGTATACTCTACTGTAGATATGAATTGTTGAAAAAATTGAAATTCTTTTTACTATGTTCGATCGACTATTTTAAATGATACAGACAATAAAAGAAGTGATCATCAAAGTTGCTAGTTTCATTAGATATTACGAATCATTTTTTTGTTAAACAATAATTTCTGTTCAATACAATTTTTTAAAGTAAAGAATTCTACTACAGTACATTATCAAATATCAATATCAAACATTGGTGCTATATGACAGAAAAGATAATAAGAAAAATTTTGCACTTTCCTTATTTACATTTGCAAGTTTTTACATGAAGCTTGAAAGTTTATTTCCACAGTAACGTGAGAAAAATTGTCGATGTATGGTCCATATTAAACATGAAAATCAGGCTGATCGCGTATGAAACTATGCGAACAGAATATGGAGAAATACTTTGCTGTATCTCCATTAGAGAAATATCGAATTTCGCGGATGAGCCCTGTCAACATTACTGATATCAGTAACCATCTACACCTACACCATCCAGCTATACTATTGTATTTTTACTTTCAGTTTTAACCGATACGGCGGCAGTATCTCATGTTACGACTGTCGATGACAGGGATGATGAGCGAAGAGAAGGAAGTCCTGAAGGTGGCACACGATTAACGGTCTATGGATCCGGTTTTGCTGAAAATCGTTTCAGTTTAGTACCATCAACAGAATCATCAAATACAATAGAATTAGTTCAAGGGAATGATGTTTATGTTTGTCCGATGCACAATGAAAAAGTCACTGATACTCAGTTGACATGTAATACGCCTCGATTGCCTGAAGGAGATTATCAAGTTCGAGTTTCTGTGGAAGGTAATCCGGTTCCCATAAGTCAATATAGTTCTCCATCATCGGCAACATTCAAGGCGCATCGAAATTATACACCTCAAATTACTAATATATCGCCGGCATCAGGCTTGCCATGGAGATTGGTTACATTAACTGGTGATTTTAAAACTGAATGTTACTTACGTGATAGTCGCGAATGTTCACCAAAAAATGTGTCCGCTATTTCTCGGTAGGAGATGTTTGATTTGACTATTTTTAAAATACTTTGAATAATAATTCACTTAGAATATACATCGGTGGTCAACTGTGCAATCTGATCGATGACGAACGCAGCGACTAGTAAGTTTCTATGTGTGTGATTATATTAAACTATGGTTAAATAATTAGTAGTCGACCACAGTACTAGTTAGGAGTAATTTGCTTTTTTCTTAGTAATTAATACAACGAACATTAATTTTCACAAAAACAATATCCATGTGCAGTAGTTATATATCAACTGTGTTCAATGATTTTTCTTTCTGTTAGGTACAAAAGATTTCCTCTTTCTAGATTTCGAAACACAAGAGCTTCATAGACTTTGTCGACTGTTCAACAATCAGTCGCTATAATTATACCTCTTTTCAAAATGAATCAGTTCATATAAGCTATTGCTTTTTTTTTTATTGGATCTGGAGTTGACATCTATCTCACAAATATTTGTTTGTTTTATAGCTATTCAAATCTGAACAATAGCCAACTCCAATGTCGTTTCGAAAGCGACGAAGTCGGTAAGCAACTTAAGCCATATATTTATAGGCCTCCTAACTAACAATATATGCGATGGATGTCTATCGATCCGTAGGTGTATTCAATGTGAGTATGCTTGTTTCAAACGAATTTGGTCGCTCAGCGAGTGATGTGAGCCTATATCGAGTATCTGGTACTGGAGAAGTGTACAATTTTGAAACCTATGCTGGTTTGTATCGATTCACTATCCACAATTTCGACTGTTCTAGATTTAATATTTGTTTCTTACTAGTTCTAACGAATATCTCGTCCAACACTGGAAGTATGGAAGGTGGTACAATTTTAACAATTAAAGGAAACTATTTCAGTAAAAGTAGTAATTATCCTCTGATCGTTAATGTTGGTGATGATCCGTGCACCATTCGTAATGTGAATCTGACTACAATTCAATGTCAAACATCAATAAGATCAGTTAGCAATCGAAATCATTATCGTGGTAGGTAGATAAGTAAATAAAGTGCTATATTTCATAGATATTTTTTGAGGTGGTCGTGGACTTCATACCTATTATCAACCTGGCTACATTAATCTTGTATGTTAGATATTAATTGATCTATTCCTAGTCATTACTGTATTGATTTGCTTTGCTATTTTTAAGAATGCTTTGGGCAGTGTTAGTCCTCCAATGCCAAATGCCAACACCAGTCGCTCATGGACTGGAGAAGCCTCATTTTCCTCGGTATTTTCATCTGCTACTACCGTTTGGCTTATAGGATTTATACGTGCACCCATGACGGCTGCATTCAATTTTCGATTGGAAAGCAATTCTCAAGCTGCTCTTTATCTGAGCACTGATGAAGATCCTGCGAATGCAGTACGAATTGCTAGCAATACAGCCACCGATTCACAAAGAATTGTACTCCAAAATAATACTGAGTGAGTAAAAGACAAAAGAACAGTACATCGATGATTTAAATGATTTATTTTGTGTAGCTATTACATGCTTTGTGTTGGTTCCACTGGCGGTGGTAGTTTTGGTTTAGCAGTAAAATCAGCCATGCAACCATTGAATTCAAGAACGGGAGCTAATCGTCCGGGTACGAGCGAAATTCAACAAGTTAACATCGGTGCTGCCGTTACCAATGAATATCAAGTAATTAAAAATTTATAATCAGAGGTGTATCAAATTAACGGGAATATGCACTATTCTTTAATACGGTGTAAACATGTTGATAACTATTTTTGTAAAGGCCTCTGAAAGTTTAGTTTAAATAATCTTGTGCAATTTACTCTCGCACTATCCTGTACACTGATATCCTATTTATGTTTGTTTTCGAATTCACAAGTGTTCATATTTTTCTAGTTAGGTTATCATTCACAGACTCGCCGATATGAAAAATTAAGAATTTAGAAAGACGGTATTTTGAATACTTACGATCTAATCAATCAGAATTATAGAATAAAAATATTTAGTTCAAGATAATTTCACAAAATCGATTATATAAAAATACTTTGTTTTTGCTTTAGCGTATTGTCTATATGACTAATTCGTCTATTCCTGGAGTGGCTGAAGTTCAAGATGTAGAGGCATATTTCAACATATTTCAAATAGGATTCAGGGGAGTCTATACAGGTAAGTTTTTGCATGACCTCTTCGTTTTTTTTAAATGAAACCATTGATGCATTATTGATCTTCAGTACTACTCGATGGACCACCATTTACACAATTTGTCCAGGATGCTCTCAACGATTTGCCAACAATCTATCCTTTAACTGTTAGTGTAGCACTTGTCGGCACTGCTTACCGAGTGACGTTTCCAGTAGAAATGGGTGATGTTCCACCACTTACTGTGATATCAACAGGATTTAGTGGTACTGTAAATGCAACAGAAATCATACGAGGTGTTCCATCGGCTTCAAAGATAGCTTTCCAACTCGATGGAGCAATAACAAACTATCTAAACTTTCGAGACGATGATATTACATCAGCTATTCTAACAAATGAATTCAAAAATTTGTTCAACATTCGATGTCCACCATCATTGAATGATCCACAAGTAGCACCAACTGTTGTATATTCGGACGAATTTGAAGAGCCGAGTCCATATGATGACACATTCACAATTGAAGATATGGCCTTCTGTGGTCGTGGAGCAGTCAGAAACTCAACTGTACATATCGTTTATGGTAACACACAAGCTGCTGATTACATGTGCTTTGCCTATAAGATTGCTACGGGAAGCTCGATGACAATGATTTTTCAAGCTCAGGGCGATTATAATCCTCCAACTACCGAAAGTATACTGATGAATTTAATGGCAGATTCGCGGTGGCATTATAAATGTATCAATGTACTAGACGTACTCCAGCAGAATAATCCTTCATATCTTTCTGTTACCACTGTAGTAACTATGCAAGTCGATCTCAATTACTTTGTTCCACTAAGTATCATGATTGATACAGTCACGTTACGTAACGATTTACCTATAGGCTATGAGGATGATACGGTGATTGCATCCATTGATCAATCATCCACACAACCGTGCACGTTTCCGTTTTTTTACAACGGCAAAAATCATTCATCGTGTGTATTAGATAATAACAACGTACCTATTTGTAGTTTGAACAACAATGTAAGATCGTACTGTCAAAGTTCATCTATCGAAGGTGTTCGTCGACTCTATCCTAAATATCAGCTACTTGACAATTCTTTGCAAATAACTCATAATACACCGACAAATTATACCATTAATATTTCTTTTCGATACACATCATGCATGTCACCATCGTTGATTGAAGTTTTGCCGTCCACGGTCAGTTAATCATTTTCTACATGTAGTCATTCTAAATTCATTTGTGTAGGTTGGTACAGTAATTTCAATTTCTAATGCTTCTAAAGCACTTAGTGGGTACTATTCTATCATGTTTGATGGACAAGTATATTCTCCGATTCCAGCTGCAATAGCTCCGTCAAATTTGGTCGATTTACTACAATCATTTCCAAATTTTGGCTATGTTTCCGTCAGTCGAACCGGACAATGTCATCAGTATTCTTACACAATTCAATGGTTAGTTAATGGTGAGCAACCACTTATTTCCATCGTGAATTCATCTCAGTTAAGACCGCCTAATGCACCTATCAGTGTTTCATCAATACAACGTGGTAGCTCTTCAAATGTATTCTATAATCTTCCCACTGATGTAGTGAGAACTTACCATACAACATCTCAAGTGAGTTTGGTTTTTATATTCAAAAATATCTATTTTCAATTAAGTTTATAGGTGGAAGTAGTTGTAGGCGGTTATCCATCTTATTGTTCCAACACCGATAATAACTGTGAATTTCAATGGTCAATCAATCATACGCCTCAAATAACATCTGTCATTCAAAGTGGAACAGCGGTGACTATTAGTGGTTCTGGATTTAGTACTCGTCCGGAATCTAACACGATATCAATTGGTGAGAATGGTCGATGTGATGTTCAAACAGCTAGTGCAACATCGATTCTTTGTAACATTATCAATGCACCATCAGGTCAACATGTTCTACGATTAAACGTTGCTGACAAAGGTCTAGCTTCGAGTAATACAACTTTCATGGTGCAAGTGCCGTTATTTATCACTTCATTTGTTCCAAATGGAGGCGATTCTGGTGGAGGTTATCAATTAACAGTGTTCGGAGGCGGCTTTTCGCCGGATGCAGTTATCTTTCTTGGTGAAAATTTCTGTATCAATCGAACTGTAGTCAATTTTACTACAATCAAATGTGTTGTACCTCCAAGTGGCAGTGGAAGTTTGAGTCAAGTGGTGGTTGCTGTAACTGATGGCTTGAATTCTGTTACTGCATCGACACAATTCACATACAATGTGACGGTTGCACCAACTATCTATTCAATTAATCCAACTTTTGTAACGATGCGCGGTGGACTATTGAACATCAATGGTACTGGATTTGGCAACCAAGATGTTTCTGTTTTCATTGGTACCGCAAATGCTCGTGTTATATCTTCTTCAAACAACTACATTGTAGTAAATTTGAATGCCTTACCACCTGGACTCTATCCAGTCACGGTTCATACTGCGGCAGGTTATGCACGACCGCTCTTTCAAATCGAGTATCGATTCTATATACAACAAGTATCCCCACAAGTTGGCTCTGCATACGGCGGCTCTGATGTTTATGTTGATGGAGCAGGCTTCGACAATGAGACAATTGTTCAATTACGTGATCAACAGAATAATGTCTCTCCATGTGATATTGTTTCAATTCAATCGGATCAGATTCATTGCCGAGCAACGGTTCCTACTAGTCAAGTAAGCATCACATCTTATGGTACCCATCCGGTATATGGCTTTGGCCATGCATGGTATCCTACTCGTGAGACAGTACAACAAGGAACAACGGTTACATGGTCATGGGATTCGTCGCAACTTAGTTCACCAGTTTCTTACAAAATACAGCAGGTAGACAGCCCGTACAGTACTACACCGGTACAAAATGGATTTGATTCTGGCCCACCCACATCTTCGGGTAGGCAAAAGTCAATTGAAAAGATATGTATTGACTGATTGAGATCTTATAGGTTCATTCTCCTATCAATTCGATACTCTGGGTACATTCTACTATTGGGCACCGAATATCACTCAATCGACCGGATACGCAATGCGAGGTGTCATCGATGTTGTAGTTTTAATGCCTACGACAGTGACTGTAGAAGCCATTTGGAATAAATTTACTGGTCATATACAAATATGCGTTTGCATAAAGAAAATGACTTCTTTCTATTTTTTTGTAGCTCAAACATGTGCATTTCCATTCATTTTCAATTCGGCCAATTACACCGCATGTACCTCAGCGAATGATACACGATTGTGGTGTTCACCAACATCAGTCTATACAGGTCAAAGACTTTATTGTACTCCAACAGGTATGTTTGTCATCCAATAAGGAGACACAAGAAATATGTTTGTCTATGATAATATTGCAACAAGTTTGATTAAGATCCATTATAATAGACAGTGTTAGGATTTTCATTCATCGATAACCACAATCTTTGGATATGAAAATCATCTATTCTTTGTTTCACATTTAATTATATAAGAGAATTCACTTTCGAATCGAGCAGTGTATACGTATGAGTTATAAACAATTGCTGATTGATATCTTCCTTAATACCTAGTAATATGCTTATCGTGTAATAAACCATTATTTTATATTATTATATCTTCCATCGACTTGAAATCTTTATCATATTCATAGCTTCGGTACCTACTTCATCATGTCCTTGGAGAACACTTAATGCGAGTTCGTGTGGTGAATCTGTACCAACATCAGCTAATCCAACGCAGTTTCTTTCAACAATATGTACAGTTGAATCGATTACCGATATGTCACCTTTGGAGGGCCCCGCTGGAACTCAGTTAACAATTACAGGTTTTTCTTTTCATGTTCAAGTTCTTTTTTTTCTAATCATGTATATCATAATTGTAGGCACAAATTTCGATGGCAATATGTGTGATTATGATATTCAAATAGGATCATCATATCATTGTCCCATAATAAATATGTCATCGAATACTCTTACATGCCAGATCATGGCAAATTCGACGCTTGACGCTAGAACGAATCAAACTGTTCGTGTAGCTCGTCATCGTCAAGGTTATCTCTCCAATCGAATTCCATTGAAATTTAGATTTCTCCCATCAATCTCAAGCATTTCTCCGACAATTGGTAGAACTTTTTTGATGAATCAAAGAATGAAAAAAGCAATTTTCTGTATGTATATATCTCGTTTTTAGGTTCGATTTATGGTGGTACTCGTGTAACGATTGATGGAGACGGTTTTATGGAAGACAACACACTTGTATACATTTCAGGCGCAAATTACGCATATCGAGGATCAGAATCCTATTCACGAATTACTTTCACTACCCCATCCGAGTTAACCTACATAGATACAGATTTAAGCTTAGCAGTTTTTGTTGGTACAAGTCAGTCGACTTGTCTAATGCCTTCGTGCCGTTTCTCTTGGTCAACAAGTGTAACACCATATTTTGACTCAGTGAGCCCATCAGTTATTCGTGGTAGTACAAACTTAACAATCACCGGTCAAAATTTGCTCAGTGGTGGCAGGACAGCTGCTGATGCTCATGTGACTATTAACGACCATATCTGCAATATTACACAAATGAGGAATGAGTCAATCATGTGCACAGTAAAAGGTATCGAAGCTGGTCAACAAAGCATTGTTGGATCAATTGATGGTTAGTGCTTGTTGGTAACCTTTATGATTGAATATTTGAATTTTTTCGTTATAGGTGTTGGTAATGCTTATTCATCATTGAATATCACATCGGAAGCCATTGTAGCGACGGTAACACCTCTGACCAGTAGTGTCTATGGTGGTGCAACTCTAACAATTGTTGGTCACGGCTTTTCTAACAATATCAGTGAAATTGAAGTCAATGTTGGGACAGATTCCTGCCCTGTAACTTCAACAACAAGTGAGAAAGTCGAATGTACTATCCCTCCTCAACGTAACAACCCGAATACAGCAAATATTAGCATTTCTTCACATCATATTTCATTTCCATCTTCATCTTTATTGACTTACGACAGAGCGATCACACCGAACATCAGTTCTGTTAGTCCAACGTTTGGTAGTAACTCACAAAATTTAGTAATTAGCGGAAATAACTTCGCTGGCTCGGCTCAAACAAATGTTACAGTTGGAAAAACTGAGTGTACCGTTAATAGTCGTTCGATGGTATCAGTTGCGTGTACGGTTGGTTCAGATTTGCCCGCTGGGCATCACGAGGTTACTGTTCATGTAGACGGAGTTGGAGATTCAAATTCAGACATCTCTTACACACAAGATCTCTCGATCACTAGTATTACACCATCGGAAGGAAGTTATGGTGGTGGTCTGCCAAGCACGATTCTTGGTAATGGATTTAATGGAACCAATGTCACTGTGAGTGTATGTAGTAGGGCATGTTTATCGAAGGAAATCGTTTCTAATGGTCAACTCATTTGTGTCACGCCCGAGATATCTTCGACGGTCGCTAGCACTGCGTGCAATTTAACAGTGTCTGTTGACGGCATCAGTAAAAATGCATTGTTCACTTACAGAGCTAATTTGACTGCAACGGTAACATCGGTAAGTCCAGCTCGAGGCGGAACAGGTGGTGGAACAACTATTACTATTAATGGAACTAATTTTCCGTGAGTTATTCAAACATTAGAGCATTTCTCAATCTATAAATACTCTCTATATTTAGTACTTCTATCAATTCCGTAGCAGTGACTATTGCTGGTACACCATGCTCTGTACGAACGATCTCAACAACAAGTATTACTTGTGAGACTAGAAGTCATCCATACTCAAGTATACGAGCTCCGGTCATGGTATACATTAACGGAAGTGGCTATGCAAATACTTCAGCTCAGTTCCAATATATTGATCTTTGGTCAAGTCCATGGACATGGGGTGGTAGTGATCCACCCGAAGAGAGTACTCTTGTAGTGATTGAAAACAACGTGACTATCTTTTTGGATATTGAAACACCTACTCTTAAAGCACTCATCATTGACAACTCCACTCTAATCTTTGATGACTCACAAGATGTTGCTTTGAACGTCGAATATATTATTATTGTTAATGGAGGCCATCTTCAAGTAGGAACAAATACCGAACCATTTCAACATCGTGCTGTTATTACCATGTACGGGCATTTACGATCGATTGAATTACCTATTTGTGAGTAGCATTAATTTTTTAATATTATCTTTTAAAATTTGTTTTTGATTAGTTGGTGCTAAAGTATTAGCTTTGCGCGAGGGTACATTGGATATGCATGGAATTCCTACTGTTCGAAGTTGGACACAATTGGGAGCAACAGCTATGAATGGTTCAACAACACTCACTCTTCTACAGCCTGTTAATTGGACCATCAGTAGTCAAATAGTTATTGCTACTACGAGTGATCGTTTCAGTCAGAAAGAGAGTGAAATTCGCCGAATTACGAATATATCCTCAAATGGACTTACATTAACATTGGATCAACCATTAACATATACTCATTTGGGTATTTCACAAACATTGAATTCAACAACTATTGAAATTCGGGCTGAAGTTGGTCTTCTTTCGCATAATGTTGTCTTTCAAGGTATTTATAACTGATAATTCATATGTTATATGATCAAATAACTGTCTCATTTAGGTGCAATCACTGAAACATGGAATGACACCATCGAAGCATGTCCAGCTGGTTTCAACCCAGGTACGATAAATTAGAATAAGATAAAGAATAAATATCGAATAGCTCAGTAAAATTTACTCAACACCTTCTGTCGACAAAAATTGATGTAGCTGTTTCCAATATGTTACCAGAAAGTAATCAAAACTAATTAGTTATTCAATAGTTTTTTTTACAAAAAGAATCTTTAGAAAACAGACATTCTCTCATTATTATTTTTAATAACATAACTGAATGCCGATGATTGTTATATTAGGGAACTCCATTGATAATAGTGAAGATTTCATATGTTCGGAATAAAAAGGTAATCAACGAGTTTCGTTTTTTTTATTCAGATGAATTTGCTGTACAAACATGCTTTCTTGGTCGATATGGACAAGAGATCGGTTCTGACCAGTTCGGTGCGATGATCATGAGTAGTCCCGGAAATGTTAGTACTAATGGCACTCAACCAATTGTTGTTCGTCTATCCAATGTGGAGGTAGATAAGTGTTTGATAGTCGACATGTTATTTTTTTTAACTTATACGAATAGCTCTACAATGTTGGTCAAGCATTTCGTCTCGATCGATATGCAATACATTTTCATAGCAATGGCAACATGAGCGAGTCTTATGTGAAATCATGTTCCGTTCATTTGTCATTCAATCGAGCTGTTCATATTCAGGCCAGTGATTATATTACTATTGAGAACAATGTCATCTATAATGTCATGTATGAGTTTGATTCTTAGCTACGTTATTTTAAATTACATGTATTTCACATATGCATAGGGGAAGTGCAATGTTTCTATCGGATGGTATTGAAGTAGGACATGTCTTTCGAAGAAATCTTGCCGTTTTTGTTCGATCGAGTTCTAGCCTTCTCAATGAAGATCTTACACCAGCTGCATTTTGGGTAAGACAATGATTTTAGAATACTTAATTTGAGACTCATTTTAACATAGCTAAGCAATCCCAATAATATTGTCGAATTCAATGCAGTAGCTGGTACTACACATTATGGTTATTGGTATCGATTGAGTGATAAACCTGAAGGACTTTCCCTTTCAACAATTTCCGATTATTGTCCCAATCGACAACCATTCGGTCGCTTCTACAACAACATTGTACATAGTACGGGTCGCTTCGGAGTTTGGGTCTATCCTGAATATGCTCCGACTATTTCGGGTGCCTGCAATGATTCTCAACCATCGCAAGCGACATTCGACGGTTTGATCGCATGGAAAAATAATAAGGGCATTGAAACAGTCATGTCTCGCACAATTCAAATAAAAAATGCATTAGTCTTTGACAATGCTGACATTGGTATCGCCTGTATTACAGCTGTAGGTCATCAAGAAACGAATCCACCCTATTTACGCGAAACATTCTATGATACTCATATTGGTTCATCGGTGATTGACAGCATAATTATTGGTGACGTTGGCATCTCATCAACCCCAATCGTACCATCTACTGCTGGTCTTGTTGGTGAGTGAAATATAAGTCTAGCTGTATGCATTATCTCATGCGCATTGATTCTTTTACAAAATTCGAAACTTTCGATTCTCGATCATACTAATTAGATACCATTATACAAAATAAACCTGTCTAACCATCAGAGTTTCTCTTTCATTAGATCATTACTTGTACTTTATACATCAAATTCAATGTTAAAAAAAAAGCCTATGTATCTAACACAGAAATTCGAAATAGAAAACACACTTTTTAAATTTCGAAGCATTATCTCTTGCTTGGAATTCTGTTTTTAGAATTATATTTTGAATGGTGAACTTTAGAGTAATACTACGTCATGATAAGATCATTCTATTAATTGTTGATTGTAATGAGTATTTTTCTTAAATGAGAATATCTCACAATAGACTGGAAGTTAAATTTCACAGTTTCTTACTCAAATGCTTCCGACAAGCGTTAAGTTCTTGAAATGTATGATTAAGTCTTTTTCGATCACTTCTTTCGTTCAATATTTTGCTATTCAAGTAAAATGTTCTGCCATGGTGTATCTCTTTTGATGTTTAGTTATGTGGGATCGTGGTCTTAGTGTTTCAAATGTTGCTTTCATTAACTTTCCAAGTAATCAAACACGTGCGATTTTTGGACCAACCATCCTCGATCGATGTACCGATCGTTGTGGAGGTAGGAATGCAAAGAAGTATTTTTTACACCAGTTTTCACTATTATCATTTACTAATATAGGCTGGCTGATAAAATTTTCAAACATATCATTCGATAATGTTTTGGTTCGTGGCAAATTTCGATGGGAATATGATGCCGTCTATCATGATCAAGATGGTACTTTGTGTGGACAACCAGATTCAGTAATCATGGCACCTGATGGTCTAACTAATGTATCAACGAGTTGTGCAATAGCACCTGATTTCGAAAATGCTATTCAATGTTCTCTTTCACAAGGCTCATGGTTACGATTCTCATTTCGCGAATTATTAGAAAGATCACAGGGTCGACTATTCATCTTTGATGCAGCAAACACGTCTAGTACTATTGTACCATGGCTTCGAGAGCAGTTAACTTTTCCCAATGGGTATTTGACAGTATTGAGAGCCAATCAAACTTACACCCTTCAATTTGAAGTACTTTCTGTACGTGTATTCTATTATTTCATTTTGTATCAGTTTTTATCGTGAATCTTTCTTTAATTAGAGTGTTCGATATCTGCATTATAAGGGCGTTATTTATGACGTAGCTCCAGGTGACTATCTGATCATTCAACATTCATTGAGTGTTGCTCCATATAGAGCTAATACTACAGCCAATCGAACCATGATTTTAGGCTCTATGGTGCCACTATCCGGATTGACCAGTAATAATGGTGACTGGTATTATGACAATGCTGCTTCTCTGTTCTCCTATATCGGTAGCTAGAACTGTTTGTTAATATCTTCTGTTTTTATTCATATCATTTTATTCAGTTAAAAATCCGCCAACAGCTAACACAAGTATCGATATAGAACTATCATTTCAAGTATACATATGTCCTTGCAATGGATGTGCATGCCCACCGCCTCCAACGACTACCACAACAACAGCAACAACAGCTACAACAACAACGGCAACAACAGCTACAACTACAACAGAAACGACAACTACAACCACATCCGCTACAACAACGACGACCACGTCTGCTACAACAACTACAACAACGTCGGCTACAACTACGACAACAACATCGGCTACAACAACTACAGCTACAACAAGTACAACAACGACAGCGACAACGGCCACTACAAGTACTTCAACGTCTACAATCTATCTACCTCCAATACAGCCTTGTATGGAATTACCAACAAATCCACAAGTGGTATGAGTTTAATTAGATTTTGAAAAAGTCTTCATAACCTAGAACAAGTGCCCATGATTAAATATCATGATACGTTAGTAGCTGCAGTGTACAATAACTGCAAAATAAGAGTTTCTTATCTGTTGAGTTGTTGTTGGTGTTTTTATGATAATTCCCAAGCGGAGGACAAGAATTCATCATTGATGATAATCGAATGGATCTTTTTTGTAAATAGGATGTGTATACACATCTATTCGTGCTCACAAATTTCTCGGTGAAAATGACTGTTAGATCAAAAGCTATTGTGAATATTTTAGTTTTTTAAAGTTTAATATATAGGGAATGGTAGGGAAACTGTGGAAAAATTCCTACGTTATAGTCCTTGAACACCGCTTTACCAATGAGACATCAAGTAACTAGAAACATAATTTAAAATATGAATTCATGGGTTCTTTTTGTACTCATATACTTTATATTTCTTCATAAATTTAACCTGTATCGAACAAAAGAATCTCGATTTAGTGCCAATACGTCGAAGTCAAATATTGGTCCATCGATGCTCACTGGACATTTGGTCCACAAGACTATCCAAATTGGGGTAAGTTCAGTCTATTTTGGTGTTAACTATCTATCATAAAACTATATTACAGTTGGTGTTAAGCCCAGTAACGGCAATAATGTTTATGTTCCTCGTTGCATCTGGTTAATTATCGATTATCCACTTCCAACTATTCGTGCGTTGAGAATAGATGGTGTAGTTGAATTTCAGCAGGTACAATTCGCTTTCTGGTAGAATATTTATATGTTTGATGGCAATCTGCTGTTATTTTTAGGGACAAAATCATATTATGTCAGTTGACACCATCGTTATTAATGGTGGACGATTGATTGCTGGTAAATATCGTAACCTTGAGAAGATTTTATTCATTTTTATGAGTATCTGTTAGGTTTACCTACCGCACCGTTCAATGGTAATATCGACATAATCATGACGAATAGTGGATCACCAACCATACAACGGCCTCAAAATTTTCCAGAGATGACACCGAAAATGATCGGAGTTCTTGGTGGACTTGACTTGCATGGTACTCCACGTGGAATTACTTGGACGTTTCTTGCTACTACAGCGGCATCGGGTCAACATGTGATTATTCTGCGTCAACCAGTTAACTGGAATGCCGGTGATGAAATCATCATTACAACCACTGACACAAGCATCTATCATACTGAACGACACAGTATTGCTAGTATACAGAATGGAACAGTAATATATACTACAACACCCCTTGCTTATACCCATATTGTCATTCAACGTTCATTCGCTAATGGTCAAGTGGTAAACGTTGCCGCTGCCGTTGGATTGCTAACACATAATGTACGCGTTATTAATCAAAATCCAGGATCTGTTTTGTCTGGATTTAAAATTTTGGTTACAGAATACCGTACAAATGTCTGGCATATTTACACCAATACTTTTTACGACACTTGCTACAAAGGCTATGCTCGATTATCGAATACTCAATTTATAGGATTTGCACAATTCGATGATAGCTACCTGAGTGACTCAAGATCAGGGATTTATATGAATCGTCTTGGCGATTACAATACATGGCGACCAACTTTTATCGATGCTTGCTCATTTGATAGTGGCTTCAATGCAGCGTAAGTACTCGGATCTGCACAGTTATTGATTTTGAAATTGTTCTATCTGCAGTGTTGGCATGCAAAGCACCAATGGCATCCCTATCACAAACAATGTTATCTACAACACCTATAGGTCCGCTCTTGTTCTAACTGGAACAAACAATCTCGTACAAAATAATCTTGTTGCAAAAGTTTACTGGACAGGAACAGGTCAAATACCATCCGTTGCTGAATTTAATATGAATAATGATGGTGCGATTATGACTCGCGATGTTGTTAGCGTGAGATTGCTGGTATGTATAGATATTTTGAATAAATTTCGCGGTATTTATTGCTAATTTTATTCTGCTATCAGGATAATATGGTTGCTGGTGCTGAACGTTTAGCCTATCGAATCCAAGGTGAAACATGTGGAGGTCCAGATGTTTTTGTACCATTAAATATTACAAACGTTTATTCGAACAATGAAGCGCATTCAGTAATGTCGGGTGTCAACATTTGGCCATCTGACAAAGGCTTTATATATGATCGAAGTAGGTGTTTGAAATATCATCCAAATCTCATACTTTCTTCTTTTTTTTTCTATCATAGAATGCGTTCTAATCAAAGGATTCAAGTGAGTGTCAACTGAAATACAAGAATAAAAACCTAGTAGTGTATTTATTGTAATAGAGTTTTCTTCTACACAGAGAGGTAGTAGAGAGAGATGCGCCAAGTGATTTTGATATTGATTTAAAAAACTACAAAGTAAAATTGAAGATTTATTTCTCTTATATAGAAATAGTTATATATGTTAAGTCAAAAATAGTAGTATCAAGCATGAAAAGCATGTACATAATTAGTTTTCAAGAGCTACTTACCTTACTTATCAAAAAGATAATTCTTGATGGTAATCCTTTTCATAGATTTAATTTCTTGTCATCGTATAGACATATGTATTACTGTAGATCTGTTCAAATAATACCATCGATGTACTCAGAACTTACGAAAAACGGGGCATTGTAGGAAGATGACAGGCAATTTTCAATCTCTTTTTCAACTATTAATATACATCATTCTGTGCGCATGCTTTATAGAAGTCAAGGTTTCTATTTAATTTTTCAATGCATAATACTAAGAAAAAAAATTACTATTGATGTAGTCAACAATTTGTGATTTTCAGCAAAACAGCTAAAAAGAATCAATATTTTCATTTAATTGTATCAGTAAGACTCATAAACTATTCAGCGTGCACAACATTTGGACAACCTATTTATTTTTACCTAACTGAAGTGATTTAATTTTGATTATTTTCTTACTTTTCATCATTCGTCATTTCATTTTTATTGAACCTCATATAAAACACATTGCGATTTGAATAATGTATATCGTAGTTGCCATTTTCTAACTAAACAAAGAAATGATTACAAATGAATGATTAGTTCCATTTATCAATAGTAATTGGAGGATATATTTTATTGTACAAACGAAAAACCTCATGTACGTGTACATATGGTCAGCTAATCAGAAAAATTGCAATGTTATGTAAAAGGAGAACCATGACGCGAAATAGTCCTATCTACACTATATTAATAGAAGAGAACTTGAAAATTTCTACAGCAGAAAACAAAAACATCTATGCGCGTATATTTTTTTCTACATACAGTTCTTCTGTTTGATAATATGTATATATAAAGCTGATCATTTCATTTGCTCTTCACTAAAATAGGGTATACAAGGCATGGTATTATGCATTCTACATCAATACACCTCGCAATATCACTATCTATTCGTCTTCATCAATTGATAGTTTTGTCGGCATCTTCACCTATGTGGTTACACCATCAGGTACTACTGGTTTTCATTGATTTTTCTCTTCATAATATTAAGTTCTTTGTATGCGATTAGCTACAACACATATACCGCTGGCTAGTCGCGTCAATATTAATAATTCAATTGTAATTGGTTCGATGACACCACAAGATTGTGAAGATAGAATAGATCCGAATTCCGCCAACATTCGCCTATCACAGATGGCGTTACCTAGAGTATCAGAAAACTCATCTTCGACTGGTACTGGCGGTCGATCGGGTATAGTATTTCCAACTATGTCAAGGAATAACTTCATGCCCATACGCCTTTGGACTGGAGTTGGTGTCTATCCTGCTCGTAAGTGAACATTAAACACTTTAATAAATACTTAGATAATTTTCTTGAATATTCTATAGTGAGTGGTTTAATGAAGATTACGAATACTACTCTGGCATTTTTCAACGATATTTGTGATCGACATGATGTAGCAATTCAAGTCTCTCAGACGAATGATGATGGACAATTTCCAATCACAACTAGCGCTATGTTTGTCTATAATACATCTCAAAGAAACCTTATTTTCAATGGTAAACCAAACTTAGGTGTTGTGAACCCTAGCAGATGTGGTGGTAAGTCTATTTAATGTATACGGTCTTGTTTGTTAAATCGATTATGATTGCAGATATGGACTGTGACGGCTTGAAAAAAAATTTGATCATTGATACTGATGGTTCACTTTTTGGTCAACCAGCCAGTGTCTTTTCACAATCTGAAGTTTTTTGGGGTTAGTGTTTAACTTATGTTCAAGGAGGAACAAATCTTAAAATAGTTTGTGTCTAGGTAGCCAAGAGCATGGCACTGGAGATTTTCGCATTCCACGAGAAGCACTTACCAATCTAACCGGTCAAAGAATCAATATCAACTTGACTTATCCGTATCGAGGCATCAGTCGTACTAATTCTTGCTCTCTTCAATCGTCATGGGGAATGTATCAATGTAATTCAAGCGTTGACTATCGTATGTTAATCATTGAAAGTATGGACGCAGATACAGAAAAACGACGCCTTTCGCCTGTCGCTATCATGTCCGATAGTGGTTATATTGATTTGATTAATGGACCCGCAGATCGATCCACTTGCAATGGCTATGCTTGCCGTAAACGAATTTCAACATTCATGGCTCTCATTCAGTCTGGACAGACCTATCAAATATTTTTCTCAAGTACTCCACCCAAACAAACACGTTTTCGTTTGCTCAATGCTGATTCATCAATAAAATGTGTATTAGCTCTTCACTACCTTTCGACTCAACAACTTGATGTCTATGCCAACACAAATTACATGCCACCGACCAATCGAGATCTTCGGGCTCCTGGTCTTATGTTACTTGATCGTCCGAATAATGTCTCATTATCGTCGCCACCAGGAAGCAATTATTTCGATAGGTTGGAATACTTTTATATTGTTACACCATTCATAAATTTATGAGAAACATATAATTTCTGAGGACGTAACCTAAAAAAGCAAACACTCTTTTAACTTACTAGAGAAAATCTACACCGAAAACGTGCTTGAACATTGTAGAGGAAACTCGTAATATACAGAACTGAAGATTCTGAGAACACTTAAGTAAAATCAATTATGAGGGTACTATGTGTCTGAACAGAATATAGCCTTGTTTTGTAAAATAATTTCAAAATATTGAATTTCTGTATTCTTTTGTTCACTAACAGAACGTATCAGATGGCATATTTTACCATTGATGGTAACACTACGATCGATCTCAGAGTGTCACCATTATTGATACTCTCGTTTGGTTTTCCACCAATGGATCCAGCAGCATTTTTTTCCACCAATCTAGTGAACAATCTAGCTGCTCTGTTGAATATCAATCCGGACAAGATTAGACGTGTTAAAATTGTCTCAGCAACGAATACAACGTAAGATTTTTTTCCGCTTTATTTCTAGTTGTTATGTAGTTTTTTTCTGTTAATAGCCGTATTCGTAGACAAGCTTCATCTAGTTTCTCAAGCGTTCGATTGGAGGTAGAAATGCGCGATGAGCCACGTACTAGTACTACAGCAACAACTGGAATTCGAGGAGAAATTCTATCAAATATTGCCTCTGCAATTATCAATCGTTATCAAATGGGTGAATTACAAATAGCATGGTTCAATCTTAATTTAACGAACAGCATGTTTCCATCAAGTTTGAGATCCCAAGAACCGTTCGATGACTTTGAAAATGAATTAAGTGTGATCAGTCGAATTGTGCTAGTCACACCACCGAGTGATTGTCGTCAGCAAAGTCCATGTACAATTCAGCCCGTACTTGTTGCATATGACGCACAAGGTAATGTCATTCAAAAGTTAGGTTCAAATGATCGACCATGGCAAGTGCAAGCTAGCCTTGTGTCTCGACCAACTTTACGGTTGATGGGCGACATAGCTAATTATACTAATGGGCAAACACAATTCACTCTATTAGCTCTGCCAGATAACGGTACTGAACAAGTGCAATTTACTTTGCTTATACCGGATGGTGTTAATAGGTATTTGTCAGTTATTCTGCATCATTCTGAACTTAACTTATTGTCTTTATTAGCTCATTTTATATGACAAGAAATCTGACGATTCAAACTACTACTGTCAATGTGTCACAAGCAATACTTGCTGGACGACAAGTGAACAACATCTATGTTGTCGATGTAAATCAAACATTTAGTGTAAGTGTAACACCAATTGACCGTGTTACTCGATTAAAACTTGCAGCAATTCAATGGAGTGGATGGCAATGGTATGCCAATGTTAGTCTGCAGACTTTGCCACAATTTAATCGTCAAGGAGTACTCATGAGGAATAATTTATCAAGAACTATAGTCAATGTCGGAGCAGGTACCGTAACTATCACCAATTTGACAATTAATGCTACTGGTATGTATGTGTTGAAAATTCAACTGGTGTCTTCAAACAATGACCATAACGTTTTGGTGCAATCGAGTGGTATTCTTGTTAAACAAGCTAATAGTAAGAAAAGTATTTTCACTGTACAATCTTTTGTAATCATATGTCTCCTTAAGGTAACTTTCTTACTGACACGGAAGCATACTCAAGCAATATTACATTTCACGGCGACTTTGATGCTCTCAATACTAGTGATCAATTAGAATTGAAACGTACGATGATCTACAACTATCTACTAAGCATTAATATGCCTATTATCAGCGATATAATCTTGTTAAAAGGTTTTTGAGAGTTAAAGGAGTCCTTATAGTTCTCAACTATTTGTTACTATTATAGGTAGTGTTGTTGCTGTTTTCGAAGTTGAACCAATCGCTGTAGATGCATCGAACGCAGTTTCAATATTATTAAAGAATTCTGATTTCTTATCTGATTTAACAATGGTCTCCGCGAATATAAATTATCATACATATGAGGTCGAAAGTCCTAATGCATCAAACTCTACAGATAACGAGCAGAGTAACACTGTATTAATTGTTGCTCTAGCAGTTCCTCTTGGTATTGTTACATTGCTTGGTATCGGTGTCATTGTCGCTTATCAAGTACATGCGAAAATGATCGCAAATCAGCGTCTAGGACCAGATGTAGATCAACTTACAAGACTTGATCAAAGCACACCTGCTCCTAATGCACAGACGAACGGACAACATTTTGAAAATATCGAATCTGCACCGATTATGAATAATCCATCAGCACCATATCAAGTTCATATAACTCGTTTCATTAATCCTCAAGTTCCCAACGCACAGGCGCATTTATCATCTCCGATGGAATTTATTGCAGTCCATTGATTTAAACGAACTTTTTTCATAATCATTGATCATGACACACCTTTAGTTAGACTATTTTCTCTTATTGTTCCATTTTTCCAAACCTCCAACTGCATCTTTTGTTCTGTTTTTTTTACTACGTAGTTTCGTCTCTATTTTCTTGCATTACATGCTCCAAATTGATAACGACATTTCTCAGTACGCCACTTCGCATGAAGAAAGAAAGTTTTAACCAAGACCTACATATATAATACATATTTTTTCTTTTCATTTTATTTTTGAATAAAATGTGTGATACGCCAGTATAAAGAATAATAGCAAAAGTGTTGCAAAAAAAATTGTAGTTACGCTTTATACGGATGTTCGAACATCATCATCAGCATTTAATTATGAGTGAATTAATGTGTCCAACAATATAATGATCAAAAACAAATACAAGAATTCGAGAGTGAATGTGAATGGGCCTCCTAGAAATTCATTATGAACGTAAAGGTTTCGACAGCTTCTGTTTTCTGTTACTTGAACGAATACCGCTCGTGAAGCTTGTAGAATCACGATTTAATAGTCAATTTTAATAATACGCAGATATTGATTCCTAATCAATATCCTGTCATTCAAAATATTCAGATAAAAATGCTATATGATATGAAAAGTAAGGAAAACTTATCCATCATGATTCACTTTTATTTATATGAAAACGAGCATAGCACTGTACACTAAATGTCTTATCCAATCTATTGATTGTGCAACTCTATAATTTTCCTTTTTGTGTTTTGTTTTTATATAACTTGATTCCTCTGATCAGGAAATGATTTGCTTCATAATAAATAACTGTTTGGGATGTGTTCTTTTCGTTTTTCCCTCAGATCTGTCCAAGTATAAATAATAGCTAGACATACTGCTCGATCACTTGATTAATGATGAATTGCATTATGAAACTATCGATTTTTGTATTCATATTCACATTCATTACTGAAGTTCATGGCAATACAAATCGTGCCATAAGCTTACAGAACAGCATTCATACGCTGCTGAATCAGCTGCAATCATCATCGATAGATGCTATTCTTTTTTGGAATCTACTAGTAACATTATACGCTTGTGCAAATGATTATGATCGAATTATGGTTTTCATGCCAGAACATGGTGGTCCAGCAAAACAAACTCATGCTTTTACTATCGTTCATTTTGCCATGTACGATACAATGAGATCGTTTGGACAAAGTTATGAGCAACTTGTTCTACGAAGCTCAACATCAAAAGCGAATCCTGTTCAAAAGAGAGTTGGCACGAGTGCTGCTATATCAGAAACTGAAATCAGCCTAGGTCTTACGAACAGACAATTGATTGCCTCATTCGTTTTGGGAACGCGAGCATCGGACGGTATTGCAGGCAATCAATAATATACAACACAGATACTGCCCGGCTACGATCAGGTGGATCCAAAACAGTCTAATCAAGGCTTTGTTGATACTCACTGGGGTAAAATTAAGCCGTTTCATCTAGACTCTCCATCACAGTACCGTCCACAGAATACTGCTGGTAGCTCGGGAGTACTTCATGAACAATATTTGAATTCTTCTGCCCATTCAACACAGTTAGAGGAAGGCAAATCACTTGGATCAAAGACAAGCACACGGCGTACTGTAGATCGAACTCATATCGGGATAGCATGGGCTTATGATGGAGCATACAAAATAGGTACATTCCTGTGTCTCTACAATCAAATTGTTCGAGTCATTGCTATCCATGAATGAAACATCTTAGAAAATAATACTCGTCTCTTCGCATTCGTTAACTATGCGATGTCTGAACGCAATCAGACAAGCGCTTTAAAGAAACGCGTTAAAATATGTAGATTTCTTTTGAAAACTTATGCGTTTTTATTCGATAACAACTTGAATTTCACGCGTTTTTATGCATTCTTTCCTTAACAGGTTTTACTACGTTCAGCATTCATTTTTTTCTGAGGCAATTAAACTTCTTTAAACCATATCTATCAAATGAAATATAAAACCGATCGATAATATTCATGTTTTGATAATGATCTATTAATCCTACGATTTAATTTTATATTACTAGTCCATGGTGAAATCAAGTTCACATTACGAGAAGTTCTTGTTGGTGTAGGAATGGTTGATAAATAGTCAATCGAGACCGTTGAATTTTATTGACCAATTAATATTAGATTTCTGGTGCTTGGTGCACTTGTTTTGTTCGAAACACTTTTTAAAACTTCAACACGATTACCTAAATCATTATCTTCACTATCAGATGAACCTATTCGAAAAAATCGATATTCTTTCATACATTTTTCAAAACATTTTTCTAGTTACCACAAATATGAAAACCAACCTGGTGCATCTTCTCAATCATTAAAAAAATTTTCACGTGTTTTTTTTCTTCATTGCTACTTCGCTATTATCAAGAAAGTCTCCATGATTTGAATGCACTGTCAGTTTTGTTAAATCATTTGCATGTGTATTACGTACAACATGAGTTATAGAAGAATTTAACGGTTGAGATTTTCTTTTCAGTAATTTAATTTCTTATTATATCTTTTAAGTATTCATAAATATCAAAAGACATAAAATTCAACGATTGAGAAATTATGAAAGATAGATCCAACATTGTATATATGTAATTCTTTTATATTATTAAAAGGAAGTCTACGATTAATATAGCAAATCCTTAACTACACCTATGAAATAATCTTAAAAGAATAAATTGTACTGAATAATTAAAATCGATTTAGATATTAATGTTTGTTTGTTTGTTTTCTTAGTTAAACAAAGCCTTTCTACTTATCGAAACAATAAAGAAGTCTTTGTCTTTCTTTCTATATCCGTCGGTTATCATTCTTCTAGACGAAAGATTTTGTTATATATAAAATCCGACAATATTCTGTTTCTTTCTCTGTTGCAATAATATTATCCTCTCTACAGCCGAATCTACAACTTTGCGTTAGCCGACAGTTTTAACCAATCATATGTAATGTTTTGCCATGAGTATAGGAAAATTTTACTGCGTATTTTACAATGGCGTTTTCCATTTAAACAAACCAAGAAAAATAAAATTTTACAATAAGAAAATAAAAATAAAATATGTTTCTTATGGTTTTGACTTGCCTGATCTCTGTTTACAGTGTATTTAGGTTTTGTTATTATTTGTTTATAGGATAATATATGTGTCGAAGCAAAAATTCTCATTTTGAGTTGTTTTGAGATTATTTGATCGTCATTTCAGAGAAAATATTCCCTAGACTGAAAGGCTAGGGTCTAGAAACCGTAATTCACGTGTGTCTGTATGTCCGTCTGTCTGTCTGTGTGTCTGTCTGTCTGTAACAAAGGGGTTGGCACAAGTAACCATTTCTATGGTACAAATTACCATTTCTATGGTACAAATTACCATTTCTATGGTACAAATTACCATTTCTATGGCACAAATAACCATTTCTATGGTACAAATGACCATTTCTGTGGCACAAATAACCATTTCTATGGTACAAATGACCATTTTTATGGCACAAATGACCATTTCTACGGCACAAATGACCATTTTTATGGTACAAATGACCATTTCTATGGTACAAATGACCATTTCTATGGTACAAATGACCATTTCCATGGCACAAATGACCATTTTTGTGGCATAAATGACCATTTCTGTGGCACAAATGACCATTTCTATGGCACAAATGACCATTTCCATGGCACAAATGACCATTCTACGGTACAAATGACCATTTCTATGGCACAAATCACCATTTCAATGGTACAAATAACCATTTATATGGCACAAATGACCGTTTCCATAGTACAAATGACCATTTTTGTGGCACAAATGACCATTTTTATGGCATAAATGACCATTTCTGTGGCACAAATGACCATTTCTGTGGGACAAATGACCCTTTTCATGGCACAAACGATCATTTCTACGGCACAAATGACCATTTTTATGGCACAAATGACCATTTCCATGGCACAAATG